ACAGCTGATCCAGCACAACCAGGAGATCGAATCCATCCTCCCACACCTGTCCCATCACAATCGGTACTAGGAAGAATACACCAGCTTACGAGTCAGGTTGGAATTTCAATTTTACGACAACACAGCAAGAGGATGTAGCATAATTCCAAAACTTTGTATGGCCAAGATAGGAAGAAGCTCCTAGCTATCTGATTTAGAAGTAGCTTTTAGCACTCTTGTTTGGATTTATTAGTGCCTTGTAAACAACTACATTTTCCCATGAAATATGCCATAACATGAATTTGCATGGCATCCATCTTGCTGTGTCGGTTTAGTTGACGTGTAGTACATTATAAAAACAATTTGGTTACTATATATTCTGCTCGTTCGAACATTTTCTGTCCAAAAATTGTTTGTTACGGGCAGAATGTGTTCAGCATGTAGTAATGCCCAAAATTAAATGTACACCTTTTCATTTGTTGCCTTGCTGCTTCGCCTCACGCACATGACACTCACTTCACAGCTTTCGATGTGCTTGCATGTCTTGCTTCTCTCACACGCATCCAGCACATCGTTTCTAAACTTAGTTGATATCTGCGTTTCGGATGCTTCTATCAGCCAGCTTTTTTTTGTGTTGCAGCGGAACATATGGTGTTGCCGTCGAGTGCTATCACAAGTGTGCTTTTCACTCACAAGAGAGTAGCGTGCAAATGAACGATTTGTTGGTGGTGGTTATGCCGTATTGTGGTGTCTTGCAGAAATTTCCGAAGCGTCCAACGGCATTCTCCCGTACTCGGCAGTTTCCAATTCCTGGAGCCACCGCCTCACACCGATCGCCATTTTTGCGACCGTCCGCCTCCCGTGCACATTCGGCGCACTCGCGTCCACTCATTAATTCAGCGGGCCAGTGGGTGTTCAGTACCAGGGCAAATCAGTGGGTTTGGGTGAATCAGCGCCAACAGCATAGGCGGTTCCGACGGTTCTAGCGCCGCAGATTGCATGGGGTTCGGTGGTAGGCTTCACTGTCACTCACTCGGCGCCCACGACCGTACATGTTCCGCTGTTCGCCTGGAATGTACAGCAGAGCGATGCGTTCTCACTGCAGATGACGTTTCCCGTAATGTTGATGGTGGTGCAAGCAGTCGTGCTGCTAGTGATCGCTGTCTCGGCGGCGATAGCCTGTCGCCGCGCGAGCTCTCCTCCAATGTTCATCGAGTCTGGCTCGGCCTCCTTCCCGACCTCAGCTCGACAAGAGCCCCCCGCTGCTGCTCCAAACGGTGCATGTACTCGCTGACTCACATCTTCGATACGATGAAGTAAACAAGAGGCGCGTGCGTGGTTTATTACATGGGTATTGCTTTGCGTGTATTTCTGGTCATTCCATTCTATGCATTCTTTCTCTATACATTATCATCTCCCCCTCTCTTTCTCTTACCTGAACGCAACCTCGCATGTAGTTCCTCTTCCTATTTTCCTCTTTCGTATCCTTCTCTTCAAAAGCTCAGCCAGGAGTGGTTAGTTGTCATGTTTAGTCTCCGCCAACGAACTACGAGCGCTTGAAGAATTATTTCAATGTGGTTTTTGCTAAAATGTTCGGAGGTGCGTGAAGGGATTTCTTTGTTTTCTCTGCATTATGTTTATCAGGTTTTCGTCGAACTTAGGATGGTCCCTCTTCGTTCTCTCTATTACTAATGTATCTTCTTGTCTCTCTTTCTTATCAGCTCTGTTTTGAAATCAGGATGAATTGTATTTATAAA